GTGCACCCTTCCTTATATCACTTGTTGGTGTGTCCTTTGAATAGGCTGGACCGTGGGAACGATGGCAAGAAGCAGCTTACTCCCATCCGCCCCATCGCAGTCCTGAGCGGTGAAATGGATATCACCGAGGCAAACATCAAATTGATGTAGGCCAGTCCTTTGCGGCAGTGGGTGTAGCGGACAGTGTTTCCGAAGTCTTGTTCACTCTCATTTTGATCCTGACCACATCATGTTGGGGATATATCGTCCCAGCCAAATGGAGCTCGCCCTTGAAAGCCCTTTATTTGTTCGGGAAGGATACTTGCAAAACCTTTTCTATGTGATTCTATTGAACAGTACACTCCTTTCAACTTATGAGAGCAAACTCTGTGTTGATCTACTTGGAGCTGGCAATCCGAGGGAAGTCAAGGGAACTTGGCATTTTGCGATGGGGGGCGGAGATCATGGAATGTAGACATTGCAATATAGCCTATAGCAAGTATTTGTTTGAGTTATAAACACATGATTTCTTTTTATGACATAATCGGTTTTCACAATTGCGCCGTCCCCCAAACCAGATCTGTCCAATTATTAGGCTTGAGGCTGTTGAAAAAAGCTTCGCTTTGAAATGAGGTAATGATCGAAATTGTGCAAAACACAATGGTCGGCAGTCAATCAGCAAAGTCCTTGACATGAACTTTCAATTTATTACCAAGTACAGTAGCTTTTTGTGGCCCTGAGATTGGACTTAGCTACTGTTGGCAGGGCACTTTATATACTAGGATGCCTTGTAGACTTAGACGGCCACATGACTCTTCTGACGATGTGGAAGAAGTTCCCCTTACAGCGGCATCAGTTCGGGTACCAGTAACTTGGTGTCAATCTGACATCATCAGCTTGGTTTGATTTGAAATCTTTGTAAGCTTTGAAGCGTTCGAACTCGCATTGTATAGCTGGTGGCTACTCAGCCCACTGCACTGCCAAGGCATTTGACCTACAATCTCTTATTGCTCCCTCTACGCCTGCCAACCGAACAGCCACTTCCGAAGCTGCTCCCTGGTCCTCTCGGCCAGCTGCATCATCCGATCCGCCTCAAAGCAGCCAGCTCGATGCACATAAATGGTTTCTTTGAACTTGAACCCCAAAAAATCTCTCAAAAACAAACGGTAGCTTAGGTCGACTGCTCGACAATGAATTTGCATTGCCACCCCGTGTCTCATCAGATTCATCTGGGGACAAAGGCGGTGAGAGTCCGGAACATCAGCCTGAGACCAAGAAACACCCGAAAGGAAAGAAACCAAAAGGGAAAGCAAAAAAAACAGCAACCAAACAGGAAGATGACGAGGAACACTCTGATGAGCCACGCTCACCTTTACATGGCGGGGATGAGGATGATGACGATGATCAATCGGCCGCCGGTGGTGGGAACGGTGACTCTGGTTCCAGATTTAAGGGTACCCAAAAACGACCTGCGACTCGACTAGTCAAGTCAAAGGCTCCAACGAAGAAACCAGCAGGCAGGACCAGGAGGGGACTAGACTTCGAGAGCCCTCTCTTGGACCAGGACCAGGAGCCACTGGCCAAATCAATTCTTTTGAAGGCATCGTTTGCTACGCACTGTCATCCTACCTTTAGCTGGAGCTGGGTCCTGTGACTGTCCCTGTGCGTGAACCGCAGGAGGGGCCTATCCCATTTGAGCATATGATCGAATCGGCGGAACAAGCAGAAGCGCAACTTTGCAGAGAATGGCCAATTTATTCAACACATGTTCTTTGCTAGCTGCCAGTTATCAACAACACCTGCCTCACCAACACCTCAGGTTGCCCTCATTGCGCCGGATGGGAGCAACTGAGTTCATTGACTCCTCATCTCCGTCCCCACCAAATAACCAACTTGGCTTGGAAGAATCTTGGATCAGAACCACCAAATGTCATCATCCCAGTGCGTTGATGTGATTTCATGCCCGAGTCCAATCAAACATGAGCCGCTTCCGCCCGCCCAGGACAGCCTGTCGAACTTCAACTTCGATTGGTTCATCGAGAACATGAAAGTTCCTGAGGAAACCCAATTGGACAGTGTTGAGGAGAGTGGTCATGCTTTTGAATTTTAGAGTTATTCCGATTCCAGAAAGCCATAAATGTTTTTGGGTTACAATCACAATCCAACTCTGGCTCCCCCAAAAAAGCATCCAAGATTAAATCAAGCAATGCTTCCAGGACAACGGGGGCAATGGCGACAACAATGGCAGCCCTTCTATCACCCCGACCTTCCACGATCTTCATGGCAGTGTCGCATCAAAGCAGGGTTCAGGGCTTTGTTTGGCTGAGGGTGTGGCACACCAGGTGCTTGTCTCTACACAACTGGCCATTGTGGAGTGCCTGAAAAAGGTAGATTCCGCCATAGCATCCATGCCTATTGACCAAAGCTCGGGCCCTGCCAGCTGTGGTGCTGGTTTTGGGGGTGATGCGGCCATGGATTTGCCTAGCCTAACTCAGCATCAGGAAGAGCTCCCTGTTTACCTTTCACCTTACTATGAGGATGAGCTCGAGCATGGCAACAATTCTCCTGCCCCTGAGGAAGTTGCAGAACTTCCACAACCAGAACCTGTGAAACCTGGGGATCAGGGACCTTCGTTGGAACAGTCAGAACATCCTGAGGAAGTTGCAGAACTTTCACAATCAGAACCTGTGGAACGTTCGGGTGAGGGACCTTCCTTGGAACAGTCAGAACACAAACCTCCCTGTCCGGAAATGCCGGAAATGCCTTCCAATGTGGAACAGCTGAAGGGTTCCAAAATGGAGCAACCGAAACCGTCCTTTGTGGAAAGTCCAGAGTCTTCTAAATCCAGTCCCTCTGTAAAACTCAATGCGACCAGCAAGGCCAAGGCTATGGCCAAGAGAATGCCACGGACCAAACATGATCCAACAGGTCAGACCATGACCAAGAGCAAAGCAACCGCTTCGAAAGCCAAAGCCAAGAAACCAGCAACCAAGCCAACGACAAATGAACCCAAGTCCCAAGCTCCGAGGAAGTCCAAGAGGTCAGGTCATGATTCCGATCTGGATCCGGAAACAATTGCACGCAAAAAGATGCATTCAGTACCTTGCCTGTTAGTAATTGTCGAACTTTTCACTAAGTAAACAACTATTCAGTGGCAAAAGTCAACCAGCAAGTGTCTCTACCTATTAAATGTCAGGTATACAGCGGTGCCCACAAGAAAGCACGAACGGAGGGGAAATCACCTGAAGAGTCGAAGCAGATCGCACTGGCTGCCAGGATGGAGCATCTAGGCAGCATCAGTTAGCAACAACTCTAGGCAGCATCAGTTAGCAACAACCCGTCTCGGCAATAAGAATAAAACATTGACTCATTGAAAGCAAATTTGCTAACAAGACTTTCTTTAAGCCTACAGGTGGATTGAATCCCATGGAGATCGTGATTTGAAGGTGATCCGAGCTTTCCTGGCAAATGCTGGTGGTGCATAGTATCACGATTTGGGGATTGTGCTTCGTGTTCCGTAAACACGATTGGCATAATCAATGCTGCCGAGTTTCAATACGCAGTTGGCAGAGCGTGCATCGGGGGTTGAGCAGCAAAAAGTCTTTGCAGCGGAGAGCGGCTGCACTGGGATGTGGTTTGATGAAGCATGATTAAACTTAACCTACAACATGTGAACCAAACAACATGTGAGTGAACATAACTCGATTTTGAAAGATCCAGTTAGGAATTGGAAAGGATCCACTTACCACTGAACTTGCATATAAGTGAAAATATGTTTTAGTTGTCAGGGGTTTGATTTGACTCGGTTTTGATTTGAATTTGATTCGTCCACTCAAGCCAACCTCCTTCACCAACATGTCAACATTAAACTTTGGGGGGTAGGGGCGTGAATCCTGAAAGGGTTTGAATAATTCGTCCACCTACGGTAGCATGTTTCCACCCAGGACGGAGCTTAAACCATTGGGAACAAGTAAACTAAATCATTGGTGGTAGAAGGCAACAGCCTTTCTTTCCCACATGCTTTCGCCGGTGGCATCAGCGCCCAAGCTTCGAATCGATGGAAGCATCAGCGCGCCCAAGCTTCGGTCGACGGTGGCGTGGCGTTTGGATCGGGGGGGTCTTTTGGAGGTGAAGGTCGCCGTGCCAGTCGGATCTGCTCCAAGTAGCGTTCTTGTTCCGTTCGTAGTAAGGCCAGGAGCCCCGTTCGTAGCGTCCGATCGCTCCGTTCGTAGCGATGCCCTTTGCTCCTCATAGTGATGCCCTTTGGGATTTGCTCTTGACGGGCTTGCTTCCAAGCTGCGTTTGCGTGCCAAGTCTCAGATAGAATTGCGATTCAAATCAGTGATGTGATGTGGGTGAAGCAACGTGATCGAAATCATCCGAAACGTGTGGTGTGGTGCAAGTTCGCTAGACATGTCAAAATGCGGCATATCGCGGCATAATCAGTTTTCGTGGCAGGCGCAGGGAATCGTGATGTGCCGGTGAAGGTGTTGCTATTGGGATTGGCACGTCATGGGCTCTCCTTGGTGCTTGGATTGTGAAACTTCTTGCCAGGGCATGCCAGGGCTACGTAATGGGACTTCCCGCTGAAGGACGTCTCCTCCAACGAAATGCGTGTCTTGAAGAATTGATGTGCCAGATTTCACAGAAGTCGCGCGCTTGTAGCTCAGAAGTTGCTCAAGCTCTTAAGTAGAACAAAGAGTAGTTTCCGCGAGGTTTGGATTCAGGTTCGACAAGAGTGTCGCACAGCTCTAGAGAGTGCAAGAATGTCTCATGACTCAGAGTGTCATGCAAGAGCTTCCCACAAGGGTTCTAATAAGAGTGTCCTTCAAGCGTGCCTTCGAAGAGTCGGGAGGAGTGTTGATCGTCCCACAGAAGGGTCCTACAAGAGTCTCACACTGTTTGAGATGTTATTTTCGATTTGCATTCAGGTTGGTGGCCATCATTTGTTAAAAGTAGTGTGTCTTTCATGCTCCATAGCTGTTTCTTTGTGAGTTCTTGGCTCAATGGATATCGGGTCGGATCAAGAAACTACGCAGACCGAAATCCCATGTGAGCACCACATCGTGTTTGATTGCCGGTTACGAATTCAAGCATGCTGTAGGAGAAAGAAACGCGCCATGGCTACTCGAGGTGTCGGAACGAGACCCAAACGGTGTTGATGTTGGCTCCCTTTTTCAAATTAGCAGCTGAACTTCAGTTAGTTTCCTGAATTATTAAGGTTGAAACGTGTCATTTTCCTGCATGCAGAGTCAAGACAGGAGTTCTATATATAGCTGTGCATGTGTGCAAGAGTGGGGTTTTGGTAGTTCGAACGGATTCCGCCGGCAAAGTCTGTCTATGTTTGTCTCCATGTTAAGACCAACCCACTCTCGAACTGCAACAAAGTGTGGTGCCAATCAGCTTTCATGGTTTCTTTCCAATTCTTTCCCCTACCTCTTCACCTCACTTTTTCCACGCATCGCGGAAAACCCCCCTACGGTTGCTGTCTTCCAACCATCGATTCGAACCTGCTACGCCAGCAGACTGTGGGCTCCAGTCGACGGGGGCAGAAGACGGGATCGTGCCGAGCCATGGAGGATCCAATCGTCACGAAGAATGCCATCCGCCTCAAGACAAAGAAGCCCCTTAGATGGAGAAACTGATCATCCGACTGCATCCTCCTTTACACAACATATATTATTATATATATATATATTATATAATATTCAACATTGTTGAACCAACTGGACTTCCAGAAAATCACTTCGACTCAATTTGAGATAATTTGAGCGATTTCAACCACCTGTCATTGACTTCGCGAAGACTTGGTCAAAGGATTTGGATCACTTGGAATCCAATTCGTTTTTCTCAACGTCCCAACTGTTCAGGCCTTCCTTGCTGGAATTCTTGGGCCTCGCCGGGAACTTCCACCATCTCAACATTCGGGATCCTTTTGATGTGAAGAAGCGTGGCTCCACCATCACAACCGAAATTCGTGCAGGGATCACCACCTTCTTGGCCATGGCATATATTCTTCCAGTGAACAGTGGCATGCTGAGCCTCGTCATGCCCGACAAGCGTGAGCAGTTGGTGTGCGCCACTGCTCTGGCAGCCTTTTGCGGCTGTTGGCTCATGGGCATCATGTCCAACTACCCGTTCATGCTAGCGCCCGGACGCTTGGTTTGGTCCATTCTTGCACACACATTCGAGCACAGAAGCAAGATGAAGCAAGGACCCAAGCAATAGGCTTCATCCAGGAATTTCATGAGAGGCTTCAGGGTGGACGATCATTTGGGTCCCCCTTCCGCCAAGCGTGGCCGTTGGATTCACCTAAGGTATGGGCACCAACGCCTTCTTTACCTTCACCATTTGCCTGGGCCGCGGCCTGCCAGTGGATGCGGCCTTCGCCGCCGTCTTCGTGGCTGGTTTGATCTTCATCACGCTGAGCATCACTGGACTGCGGACATTGATGATCCGCTTGTTCCCAGAGGGGATTAAGGACGGGAGGTTTGGAAACTGGATCAAAACAGATCGTTCTTTGCCAGCTGGAGGACGAGTGCGGCGCTACAAAGCGCTTCCTGAAAATGCATTCGTGTAAAGAGATGATGCTACATCAAACTACAGGAATTTCCACATTCTTTGAGGCATTTGTTTGTTTCTCACGCTTTGCAGGGGTCTCTGCCACAGGCATTTTGAAGGCGATTCAGGTGGTTTTGCTTGTCAAGTTAGAAGAGAGGCTACAAATGAATACACATTTGATCGACGGGGGTGGTCAGATGGTCATGACTCTTGCTCAACTCTGATTGCGGGCGCCAAGTCCATCCATGAGAATGAGGATGGGCCGACGAACACCGCGCCCGTGAGGAATCCATCGGTGCAGGGGTGGGACTCTTCTTGACCTTCATCGCGTTTCAGACATCCGAGGTGCGGTCAGACCGGGCGAAGACCGAAGGTCGCCGGTCGGACCGGTGTCGGATACTACTACTCTTACTACTAATATCTACTCTTACTGCGACTTGGAATATTTTTTGAGGCAGTAGTTATGCAGTATTTTTTGGATGTGCGTGAATATGTTTGTAAGTGATACGTTAAATATTTCTTTTTGATCTCTCACCCTTATATATTCCAGTCCCATGGATGGTTTGGGATTGTACTACTGTCTATACAGGACTTTAAAGAGAATTATTTGAGACCAGCTACAGAGTTCGAACCATGCTAGAATGTAAATGCAGAGTTGTTCTACATTGTTCTGCTGTTTCATGCGGGATGAACGAGGGTGTCATCTCTTCTTCTTGAAAGGTTGGGTCCCATTTTGGTTTCGTTGGGGCCAATCCAATAGCTCAAACATGTTCAGAGAAACCCGCTGGCGCGACCAAACATTCCTCAGGGCATGGGCTTGAGCGTGGGAGACAAAGCCACCTTGGTCACCTTGAATTCCTTGAGCTCCAGCAACTATGATGCAGCGAAGCTTTGGCTGAGTATTGCCGAGCCTTGGCCTCGTTAAGGACCTCGGCCCAGCAACGTTTGCGAGTCTCTGAGATGGGGTGCTGGAAGAGGAACTGGGCGATTGTGGGTAGGTTGGATTTTGTAAGAGTTCAGAGATATCCATCAATGAAGACTATGGGAGATCGAGATGTTCTATCAATCATTTTGCAACTATGACATCATTCTTGGAACATGAACCATCGAAAAAGGTGGGGGCTGCCACTGGTCTTGACGCATAAATATCGGCTGCATGCACCTTTTGGCCGTCTCTTCAATTGGGTGGCTCTTGTTCCAGGTTTTTGTGTGACTTCCAAGGACCCTCGAAGACCCAAAGACGCGTATCAAACGAGTCGTGAGCCATGAGATGGTATTGTGGAGGTTTATACATGTGAACTGACTTGAGGGCTCAATATGATGTTGTATGACCAGAGTCTACCTGTCCATTGCCAAGCAATTTCCATCAATCAGAGATGCAAAGTCCCACCACTGAGAACTTTAGTGGTTGGTGGCACCCGACCGAACAACTCAGCTCTGCACCACCTGGTCGTCCGCCCATGTCCGCCACCTGCAGGTCCTTTGCATCACAGCCACCTTGTTCTCGGCGAAAGTGCCCGGAGCTCCACTCATCGGAATCATGTGCGGCACCGCAGTCTGTTGGATTGAGGGCTTTGCGCGGGGCGAAGAACACTCCGTCTTTGGCTACCCCTTCGGCACGGACGGCGACAGGCAAGCAGCCGTGTATACACATCGATGCGTACGTAGCGTGGGGACGTTATTCTGTTCAACCAGTTGGCAGTTGGGCGGGGAGTTTCTTAGTATTCCGATGAGGTAGAGGGGATGACGAGGAAGTCTGTAGAAGCTATAGTATGCTATAGTATATAATTAGGGCCATGGGTTGATGGGGTCACTTGTGAGAAGTTCATGTTTGCCAGAAGCGTTTTCCATGTTTGTTCACTGGCTACATGAATCATGTTCATCCAAAAACACACACTACATCCGCCCTGTCCCCGTTGCACGGTCCACACCTCTACATTCACCCTGTAGGAGCAATCCTGACTTCAAGATCTACGTTCCCACGAGCATGTTCGCTTCTCCCTCCTTGAGTGGTTTGTCAGGCAGCTTTGGCGCCAGTTCGCGCGCCCCAACAGGGGCGAAGGGGCGAAAAACGAAGGGCGCGACGGTGAAGGTCGCTTCCGTTGACCTCCCCCAACTGCGTCGCCCTAAAAATGCCGGTGGTTTCAGAGTAAATGGCACAGGCACAGACCTCAAGATGTCCTTTAGATGAGGTTCCAACCACCTAACTGGGGGATTGTGCAATGTACTCTGAAAACGCTGCATTTGTTCAAGTCACTTAGCAGAGGCATCCCTGTCGTGTTTTGCAGACTTGGTTACTCTTTGAAATTATGACTTCGAGCAGGAGGTGCTAGACTGTGGTGCACATGAACGTATTTTTATTCATGCCTCTTCCATACGGAGCTTTACTGCTGATCCATTTTGATCCAGGTTCCTCTGACCCTTTAGTTCTAGAGAATGATACAAACTACTAATATGTGTTTCATGTTCCCTCAGCGTTCCTCTGGTATGTTCATACCCGACACATCTCATCTACCTCCTCCCTCCCAGCACGGTCCAACCTTGGACGCTACGAAGCGAAGCCGCGCGCCGAAGCGCGCGCCCCGGACGTCCAGGATCCCTGTGGAGTGGCTTCGCGGCCGCCTCGGACCCAGCGCTGGCTGCCACCTTCTGGACGGCGGTGGGGACCTTTTGCTACACCGACCTCCTGGACAGCTCAGGGACCTTCTTTGCTGTGGCCAAGGAGAGAACGAAAATTCGAGAGTTCAACGACAGTTCATGTGATATGAGGGTGAGATGTTCATTGTTGGTTTGTGAAGGGTCAATGTCAACTTGTCTAATGATGTAGGACCTGTGAATGTTGCAGTTGATATTTGCTTGCTTTGTGTTGCTGTGGCAGGGTGAAAGGATCCCGAGAGTGTCTGTCAGACTAATTGCATGTACAACACCCCCAATGAAAGGGGATGTCATTTACCTCCCCTACTAAACCAGGTTTGTTCGGCTGAAAATGCCTATTTGCCCCAGTAATTGGATCAGCTGTGTTGGAGAGAGTTTCTGATTCCCAAACAAAAGCGAGTCAACAGCTGAGCAACCACTTTTATTTATATAGGCTTTACTAAAGTAGTCTACGGCATGCTCTATTTGCTTGTCTATCATCAGTATTCGCTTGTGAACCAGATAGGGTCCCCACATAAACGAGATACTTTTGTTTGATGTGACTAAAGTACAGTAGTCTGAACGAGATAGTGTGATCTGCTACTAAAGTAGTCTGAACGAGATACTGTGACATGACCTCCTGCTTAAGTAGTCTAAACGAGATAGGGCCCCCACATCAGAGAGAGTGAATTTGAGCTAAGTACCAAAGTACCATGCCGTCGCACCGAGCGAAAGGCGCGCTCGGGTGTTCGTCTCATTTTAAGGGCCTTAGGGGCCAAAAGGTGCAGTTGCTGTGGTCGTGCCGTGTAAAGGACCACTTGGTCCTTCACCTAACTTCTTCTGTTGGCACCTTCCAAGTACTTTTGAGATTTTTCCCAGCGGATAAGAAGGTATGAAGCAATTAATACTTCCTCGATCACTCTGTCGATACCAATACT